AAACGCAATGGTATTATTGGTCACCACATACAGAACCATCAACCAGTCAATCAACCAGTTTGAAGCAGCTGTCATCACTCACAGCGTCACACTGCTCTTCATGGGTTTCATCACCTGGAAGCTCAGCGGCCGGCTGATCCTCACAGTCAGGAAGTGATGTCACATCTGCAGGCTGGATCATATCACGTGACACCTGAGGATCTGCAGAGAAGTGCGTCATGTCCAAAACACTCACAGCACCATTCTGCAGTGCGGTCAGATTGTTTTGGCCTGTGACTGGTGCGTGCACCGGCGGGCTGAGGATGACCACAGCCACAGCAGCAGTGGCAGCAGCTGATTGGACATCCAGAGACAGGGTGGGTGCATCTGCAGGAGAAACCAAATGAGTTTCCTGTGAGACTTTAACCCGGGCTTTTGAGCTGAATGACTGTTCGACCTTTGACCCTGGGTCTCACCTGCCGGGCTGAACTTCACCGCCGATTTGGCCATCCTCGAAGCGCCGGGTGTGTTTTCGAGGCAACTCAGTTCTGCCCTGAGAGCTTCATTTTCCACCTCTACGCTTGCATACAGCTCCCTGAAGACTCTGCAGATTTTACGGACTGCCTCTCTGGCCACGCCCCCCAGCACGATGGACAGGTGAGCCTGCAGCACAGACGCATGGGTGACATGATAGATGCACAGGTGGAACAGGTAAAACATCTGATCTGAGGACCCGAGCGTAACTGATTTCTGATTACGCAACCTGTAGACAGGCCCCGCCCACATCCACCTGAGGAGTTCACCCTCAAGTCACAACATGCTGACTCTCTTGGAGACTGACTGATGCTCACAGCGAGTTTTCTCCATGACATGCAGCATGTTTTCAGTGCGAATGCCTGACTGACTGTTGGCCTGTGGCACGAACACCGACAGTGCTGAGACAAACACCGAAACCATCCAGCCTGACTTGGAACCGCTTCACCGAGGACGCCGTTTCCACAGCTCTTCACAATCACCTGCACGCTCAGTCATGTGACGATGTCATTCACAGATTTTCTCTGCTTTTATTTATCTTTTTATTCCGTGGACAGTTGGTGCATGCACAATGACAACAAAAGGCATTTCCAGGCCTTCCTAAACACAGGTTCCCCCCAAAGCTGTGCGCTGAGCCCAGTGACTGCAGCCCCAGCTGTTTACAGATGGCACCGTGATGCTTGGCCTCATTTCTAATGAGGGTGGTTAGCGAGGCTGCACCTTTAAGGTTTAGGTGCTGCTGTTTTCTCCTCTGTTGATGCTGGTTAACCTTAAGCTTCTGTTTAGGTTAAGTAGAGGATGATGACGTCATACCACCTGCGGCAGGTGAAGATGAGGCTGCGAACAGATCTGTTTACGTAAACTTTGGTCATGTGAGCAGTTACAGCTAAACCATGCACGCGCACCACACTTCTGGACAAACCTGAAGGCATGCGCACTTCAGAGCTGCATATACCTGGGTCAAAGATCAAACACCTGCCTCCAGGCGTCTCCTGCGTGTCAGTGGGCGGGGCCAAAACGTGTTGTTTTTTTTTACCTTTCATCCCTTCTGTAGCATGTTTTTAACGCGAAACCGGAAGTGACGGCGGATTTTGCTCTCACATAATCTTCACCTGAGCTCCTCACCTGGCCGTGCTCCGCTCGCGCGCCCTCCCTCCCCAACTCGTGCACAGCGCTCCCCACGGCTACCTCCATGATCAGCTCCACCTGCGAAGAGAACGTGCTCAGGGCTGCCATGTTGTCTTTGTCCCATGCCGGTCCGCGCACACACGTTTTCGGAGGACGAACCGACCGAGGAGGGTTCGGGTCAGCCGGCCCGGGTCAGAGGTCAGACGAATACGCTCTCCGCGGGATGATTCCTCGCTCTCTTTGCTACCAACATGGCGGTCTGACGCGATGGTTACTTCCGGGTCAGAAGGCGAATCTCTCTTCTTCTCCTTCGTGGTAGGACCGCCACCTGCTGGAGGAAAGGTGAAGCGCTCAACAAATTAACTGAGCGTGCGCACCCAGAGCGTCTGCGGAGACGTCACCAGAAAAATGAGAAAATGAAAAAAAAAAATCATTTCCAATTCATCCTGACATAAAAGACGTACATTTTAAAACGTCAGGTGGAATTTATCCAAAAAACGATGTTATCATACTTTTTTTGTTTTGTTTTGGTTTGTTGTTTTTCCATAACTTGTGTATCTGCAAATATACACATTCTGTATTTTTCATATGAAAGAAACTATACTGTGGTGGGGCTTGCTAATTTCTTGTTTTTGATTTATGTATGTTATGTTTTGTTTTACTTCATATGTTTATATGTTTCATATGTTGTTTGTTTAATTTAAGACAAAAAAAAAAATTAAATGAATGAGAGGTAAAACTTGAGGGGGTAGGGACAAATAAGTAAATACTTCAGCCTACTCCTTTTCAAACAAATAATGGAATGATATTTTGTAATGATTGTGAAGGCACATGTTTGAAATGTTTGAAATAAAAATGAACTGAACTGAACTGAACTGAACTGAAATGTATTTATGAACATCAGTCCAACAATGATTAAAGAAACATGTCCACAAGGTTGAGCCTGAAAGATTATAAAAAAGAAAAAACTGTTACAGTGTAACAAAGGTCAACACAAAGTGCGAAGAGAAAAAGTCCTTTACTGTATGTCAAAAGAAGAAAAGTAGAAAGAGCAGTCGGGAGTTTTTCATTCAGCCATCTTTTCATACACAGTTAAGCTTCACAGCATCTACATTTATGGATAAAAAGATATCCCTCATAACAGCACTGTCCTGAAAACAGAATGCAGATTTTATTGTCAATAACTATCCCGACGATTGAGTCGCCCTGGACTGCATGCAGCGCCACGTGCCGTTCCAAAAAGCTTGAACCCATTCACAGTGAAAAAACACGTGATGCAGGCTTTCAGTGTCGTTTTCACAGAATACACATGTATTCAGATTAAATTTCAATCTTATAAAAATCGTATTTATTATTTTGATGTTTACTTTTTTTACTTTAGGTGAAAGGGGAAGAGAAATATATTTTCTTTGTATAACCCTAATCTTCTCGTTCTTAAATTCTTTAAGAATATAACAGGGTTAGGACAAAATAGCTCTGATCGCCTTGTTTGTGTCACAAAAGTCAATTCCTGCTCTGCGGAGCTGTGTCAGTCCAGAGGAGACCTTAGAGAGCACAATATCTTCTTTATCTTTGATCTCAAAGGGACACTTTTATAGTTCCGTCAGCGTATCTGATGTTGAACTTCTTACAGGTAACAAGTCACATCCTCCTCATCTGTAAAATGGATCTCCATTCATCCACAGACTATTTACCCAGTCGATGTACCTGTTGTTGTACTGTGAGGAGTAAAGTTATGTTTGTATATTCATTTCCATTAAAGAGGCACCTGCTTATGGAAATCTGAGAGTTTAACTGGTAATGAGCTGCAGTCTAAATCACAGTGAAGCGAAATGAGTGAATGTGGCAAATGCTGAAAAACAAAACCTGTCTCTCCATTGGTCAGTCCAAAATGTGACATCCTGATGTGTCGCTCAACCCTGAATGTTTAATGAGCCGAACAACATTTTTAAGTTTAACATAGGAGTTAAGTACCGAAAAACCTAGGACTAGCTCAGTGACAGGTGACGTTTAATAGAGCTCTATTGGCCCAGTAATAATTTTTTTGAACAAAATTGTTCATCTGTCATCACCTCAGATCGTCTCCAACCGTTTCCCAACTCGCCTCGCTTGTTCAGTGTGAGGCCACAGCCTCCTCCCAGTCCTCCCACAGCAGCACGTCTGCAAAGTGGAACCTACCGCTCTTACCGACAGCTGAGTCGACGCTAAATCTCTTCTTTCACATGTCTCCAGAATAATGATATGTTTCTGTGCAACACATCCATAGCTTCCTCCATCTTTGCCCCCATATCAGGTAAATGGTAAATGGCCTGCATTTGTATAGCGCTTTTCTAGTCCCTAAGGACCCCAAAGCGCTTCACACTACATTCAGTCATTCACACGCACACATTCACACACTGGCGATGGCAAGCTACATTGTAGCCACAGCTGCCCTGGGGCGCACTGACAGAGGCGAGGCTGCCAGACACTGGCGCCACCGGGCCCTCTGACCACCACCAGTAGGCAAACATGGGGTTGGTATCTTGCCCAAGGATACTTGGCATGCAGCCAGGAGGTAGCCTGGGATCAAACCACCGACCTTCTGATTTGTGGCTGACCTGCTCTGCCACCTGAGCTACAGCCACCCCAGTGCGATTTTGGAAAGTATTCAAAGGAAGAGGTTATCAAATGAAAAATGAGAAAGGGAGATTAAGAAAGTAGGCAGGAGTACTAAGAGGCTAGGTGTGCAGATAAGAGAGATTTCAAAGGAGAACTAAAAGGCTTAAAGTGAGCTGTATGTGAGGCTGGACACCAACGAGATGAGAACTTGTATCGATTGGCAGAGACAGAGCTGACAGGATGTGGAGAATGGATGAGTTCAGGCAGAAGGGAGGAAGAAGACCTCAGAGAGGGTTCATGGATGTAGTGAAAGAGAACATGCAGAGGGTTGGTGAGAAAGATGAGGATGATCCATTGTGGCAACCTGTAAAGGGAGCAGCTGAGAGAAAAAGAGGAAGCACTTTAATTCCTGGACATGATTTAATAATCACCTTTTTATTGCTGATGCTGTATTTTTTCTTATTTGCATTTAAGGTGAGCTGGTGTTGTGGTGCTGGAACCAGGCGACCTCCCCAACAGAGTAATAAAATTCTGCTGGATTCCAGAGGGAGATATATTTCTGTCTGTAACACGCTGGACGTATTCTTGCTAAGTTTATTTAAAATCAGAATCACAGTTTAAGTGAAAACTTATGTCTGAAAACAGACAGTCACTAACGTTTTACTCAGCATTCTTTGCTTTGACCCAGTAAAACCATGAATCTGAATCCACAGTACTAAACTATTTGACTCCAGTTTAATGATAAAAATGGCAAAAGTGTGTTCATTAAAAATCTGATTTATTTTCATCACAGTGTCACAACAGTCAATAAAAATAAACACAGACTCTGAACTCGTTCACCTGGACCCTGATCCAGGAAGCGGCTTCAGCAAACCCTGAACTTCCTGTTCCAGAAGATTCGAGCTGGTCCAATCAGCTCTGAGTATGTTCAGCCTGACAGACCAGGGCAAAGAGTCAACAAAGAGCACTCTGTCATCGTCACAGACTGAATAAAGTTTGATTTAGATCAGCTGAATCCTGATGTGACCTTTGACCTTAAATCCAACAATCGGAGCAAGTTTGCCCACAGCATCTGTTATAGAGCTGTCTGCATGCCGCTCAGACACGGTTCAAACATTTCAGGAGGAGACGTTTAAATCGGGAACACAGTTCCAAAACAGAGCCGAACCTCGGTCTGATCCGCTCTGAATCTGTGCTCCTGATCCAATTTGGATCCATCCTGCAGAGTCAGTGCTGTGGACTCCCTGCTGTCTGGCATACCCACTGAGAATGTGTTAAGGTCAGAGGTTACAGTGAAAAATAAGTGTTTGTACGAACTTCACTCTGATCTCTGACAGCTATTCTACGAAATGGAAGGTCAGTTAAATGGTTGGGCTGCAGGACTCAGGGCGGAGTCAGAGAGAACACCTGCCAGTGAAAAGGTGAAGTTCACAGAGTCTGTTGCCACAGTAACGGACTCAGAGTTTAACTGAAGCTGCTTTCTGGAGCAGGACCCTGATTCAGTGCCAGCACTCCGCTCAGTCACAGGGACACCTGCCCACAGGTGAAGTACACGAATGAGAGTGAAACAGCGCCATCATGTGGACAAAATGACCTGATTTTTATGTGACTGACCTTTACATCATCATCCTGAGCCTTAAGCCAGGTGTCGTTTGAAGAATAAAATATTTTAGTTTTTCGTGTTGCATGGAGGAGTCATGTGACACTCTCAGGTCATGTGACTGTTCCCTCAGTGCAGTGGTCAACATGACATTACATGTATGTAATTACCTTACATACAGTACCGTCATCTTTCAGTGATACAGTAATGATGTACTGATTACATGTTGGTCCCTCTCTCTGACCGGCCTGTGCTACGGCTGCTCACGCTCTGGCACAGAGGAAAGGAGGAAGACAAACTGAGCAAGCTCAGGAAGTCTTTGTGGGAATGGACATCATCATCATCATCATCATCACGTTGTTACCTGGCTGCACAGCTGCGTTCAGCATCATGGGATCGCAGTAGAATCTGTCCTGCACTCTGCTGTGGTTCTGCTGTGTAACGTTCAGTGACACCGAGCGCGGTGGGAACAATGATTTAAACATTTCTCTGACAGTCTGAGGGAACGATCAGTCTTATGTTTCACAGACACTGATCCTGTTCATTGATTAATCTTAAAATTTCTCAGGACAAGTTAATAAAGTTTTATTTTAATATCGACTTTTACAAACTGAAGTGCACTTGGTTGATTACAGGAACAAAAAGCATCAAATCGTTAACAAGGACGCTATAGATGACATGATCACACTCTGTGTTGATCACAGCGAGTGTGAGAGTTTGTGTGCATATCCAAATATGAAATCTCCCCATGGCTTCGAGAACATCTGTGGACAAGATGGTCAACGTCTGTGGCAGACAGGAAGTCACGTGACCTCAGAATTGGAAGACACGTGCGGTCGTTTACACGTGGCCGAGTAGGCGGGGCGTGCACGATGAGGAGGAACAGGCCTCATAATTCCTGTCAAACTTTGATGTTTGTAGAATCAGCTGAGGTGGAGACGTCACATGACTCCATTATAACCCCGGCTGCGATGCTCCTCTGTTACACAAGAGCGAGGTTGCTGTGACTTCAAATGCCGGGTGCAGCTGATGTCACATGATTTCCTGTCCTCCATCTTGTCTGTAGTCAGATGCCACGTGGCTTGAGGCTGATTTACATTTATCTGATATCCCATAATGCTTTGCCTCAGTGCTTTGATTTGACATCATGATAATCAATCAGCTCATTCACCAATGATCAATAAACTGCATTCATCAAGTGAAAGCTTTCTGCAGACCGTCATCATCATCTACTGCCCCCAAAGGAGTGACCTTTGACCCTGACAAAGCTGTCTCTCCCTGTTGTTGATGACAGTCGGGGCAGCTGATGAGAGCAGACGAACAAACAACCTGTCAAAATATTCTCTTTTCAAAATAGCCTTTCTCATCTGAATAAAAGTGTTTTCCATATAAAACACGGTCACGTCATTCTTTCACACACAGATGAGCAAGCCTTTAATTTTTTAAATATAAAAACACGATTAAGCAACATTTTCAGCCTTTTTGTTACTTTATAAATGACTTTTTTCTGCTACACAACTGTCAGACTTAAAAAAAACCATCAGTCTTTTACAGATAGAAAAATAACGAGTAGAAAGACGACAGAAAGCTCTGCTACACCCGAATGACCACGCCCTTCTAGACTCTGATTGGATGGCAGGAGAACACCCGCATGAGTGTGTGTGTGAGAGTTTGTGTGTGTGTGTGGGGGGGGAGCTGCTTATCAGGTAACCTCAGGGGCAACTTCCTGCTTAACCCATGCAAGGAAACAGATTGGCTAATCAATATCTAGATCACTGGGAAACCACACCCCTTTTCTCTGTGAAGACGCTGATTTGGACAGTGCCTTTTCCTGGAGGTGAAACTTCCTTCCTAGAGGGCTCTGTGTGAACATTACTGCCCTCTGCACAGATTGACCGATTTCTCTGATTATTCTTCTGATGGTGAACGGACCTGCACACATCAGGACATCTGCAGCTTTACTGTGGTATGTTCTTTCTTTAAATGACAAACATACCACACGGAGGAGCAGGTCCACCTGTTAGTTTTTGTATGTAACTGAAGAACGTTTGCTCTTTCATGACTATTAGATTCAGTATAACTTGAATTCATGTAAAAAAGTAAGATGCTCAGAAGGGAAGAAAGAAGTTTAGTCAGATGACTTTCAGCAGTGGCTCTGCTCTTGCTCTCGTGAAACAAGGAAGGAAAAGCATCTTTCATCACATTCAAGCATTCAGTGCACGGTGGAACCTCATCATGATCATCATTGCTGTGTTTCTCCGTTTTACACAACACTGTTCTGGGTGTTTCATGGCGCGAGTATTTGTCTTTCAGATGGCGGTGTCCCAGAACACGGTGGCAGCATGGCCAGCGGCAGTGGGCGAGGCCGAGTATGGCGGTGGCTGCTTCCTCTTCCAGCTGGGCAAGATGGGCATACTGTCCTGTTTGCACAGATTCTTATCTGGCCGCTGACGAGCTTTGATCTCTCGACATAAAACTCTCTTTTTCTCAATCATCTCCATCATGGTGGCGTCGCCACATAGCCATGGCATCTGGACACAAAGAACAGCTCGACATCAACAGACCCATACCTCCCTTCTCACTGCAAACTACACTGAGACACACAACGTTACTGTGATATTTCACACAACTGCTGGCTGTGGACGCCCTGCAGGTTCACCGTCACATTCCTATTCCTAACCTGCTTTCTTTGACCTAGATAAAAATGTCACTGAGGTCAAGGAAAAGAGATGATGCTGAGGACAGGAATGACCTCACGTTTGTTTTTCCTCCATGATGTGACATTGGATGTCTGAAGTGCTCACACTACAGTTTGCAGAAGATGGACTACAAAACCTCCGTCTAACTTCCCTACAACATTGTTTTCTGGAGGTAATTTATACCAGAAAAGTCAGTGAAATATAAGGTTTAATTTCAACCTTATATTTCACTGACTTTTCTGTGAAATATAATATAACATCCAGGGTTAGATTTACTAATGTCTGTAGCAGCACAAGGCCGTCTTTTGATGTTATAAATGTGCTGGTCAGTTTTAAAGTCTTAAATAATCAGGCCCCATCTGATCTCAATGACCTTGTAGTACCATATCACCCTATTAGAGCACTTCGCTCTCGCTCTGCAGGCCTACTTGTTGTTCCTAGAGTATTTAAAAGTAGAATGGGAGGCAGAGCCTTCAGTTTTCAGGCCCCTCTTCTGTGGAACCAGCTTCCAGTTTGGATTCAGGAGACAGACACTATCTCTACTTTCAAGATTAGGCTTCAAACTTTCCTTGTGTTAGGGCTGGACCAGGTCTATTTATTTGTTTGATTATTTATTTAAAATTTTATACTTTGTAAAAGTGTAGTACTTTTTTTTGAACAGTAAGATACATTTAAAATGAGTCAGCAAAACACACACACACACACACACACACACACACACACACACACACACACACACACACACACACACACACACACACACACACACACACACACACAGTATTATGTATAAGCTTGTATGCTAACTGTATCTCTTAATACATAACTCTATTACCAAAACATAACTTATCGTGTTGTAAACAATAATGATATGATTTTCTGTCCAGCCTGTTTGTGGAGTGACCTGATGAGTCTTGTTTGCCTGTGACCGTCGTGAATTGACATTGCTTTGAACAAAGGGTTAGATGCTTCATCAGTTTCCTAATGTGTTTACAATGAGCTCTGTAGTATTTCATATGGTTTTTAAATGTAAGAATAGAATCTTTTTTTTTTTTTTTTTTTTTTTTGCCTGTCCCGTTTGGCTCTTTTGCCATCAGAATTGTTGTCTAAAGGCAAAGAAAGATGCCCAACGGATTTACTTTATTGACCATCCCAGCCTTGCCGTAATGGTCCATTTGATTCACCTTTTATTGTTTATTTTATTTTCACTTACTGAATACGGGACAGACTTGACTGGGGGAAAGAAGGGGAGAAAGAAAGAGGGAAAGAGAAACAGCTGAGAAGAGGGACGGGGGAGAAGGGCAAAAAACAAAACCAACAGAATGAGCAGAAAAAAAGAAAAAAAAGAAATAAAAAATGCTTATATCAATCACCTGGATCACCTGCTGAGAAAGAAAAAAGAAAACAAGCAGAAGAGAACAAGAGTAATAGAATAACCAGCATCACAATGATATATGGGAATATGACAGTAAATACTAAATATTAAACATTATTGTGCAGCACATAAGATCAACAGAACACAGTGTGCTTTGAGGTAGGAGCCAAAAAGGGTGTAGTTTGTGGGTGTGATCACCCGTGTGTACACCTGTGAGCATGGACGCGCTTGTTTTTAAAAGGTTCCTTCATGTAATGATCTGCTAGAGGGTGTGGGGGGCCACAGCCCCGTCCTCCAGGGCATGAAGCAGGTATGTAAGAATAGAATCTAAAAGCACTTTTCTGATTAGTGCCTACTTGGGTCAGCTCGGCGCAGATTGACTCAGTTTTCAGGGTTTTCCATTATGTACTAGTACCTTACGTACACCTTATGTCCCATTACGTACTGGTACTTTTTTAGCACCTACTCAGCGAGAGTTCTGGGCAATCCGAGGTGATCTGAAAACATGGCATTAGCCTAAGCAGCCCCTTTAAGCCCTGATTTTAGTAATTTTTTTCATGGCTGTATCTGTTTCCCTCATTACTGGTGTAAATTGTGATTTAACTGAGCCCAGTCTGGTTTTCTGTTATCCTTCTGAGACACACTAAGTGCCTCTGAAGGATTAGGAAATTTGGATATAAGTGTCTTAATTTCCTACTGGATAACTGAGAACCTACATGGACTGATCCCTACAGGCCTGTTCACTGTTTTATATTTCATTATATGTTCCAGTTGTGCCTTATTTCATTATCAAAATGCTGTGTTTCCCTTTTTGGCATTAATGAAATGCACTTCTCTTTTAATGCGGGGGGATTCCCATCACATCTTATGAAGACTCTAGAGCGGCTCTTCCTCAACTTCCTCCGACCACAGGTACAACATGCCCAGGACCCACTACAGTTTGCATACAAGGCGGGTGTCGGAGTGGAGGATGCCATCCTGTACCTCCTACACAGAGCCCACTCACACCTGGATGGGGGAAAAGGCACGGTCAGGATCCTGTTTCTTGACTTTTCCAGTGCCTTTAATACCATCCGGCCCTGTATGCTTCAGGAAAAACTGAACAGGATGGAGGTGGACCCCTGCCTGGTGGCTTGGATCTCCGACTACCTCACCGACAGACCACAGTACGTCAGGCTGAAGGACATCACATCTGACACTGTGGTCAGCAGCACAGGAGCACCACAGGGAACTGTGCTGTGCCCTCTTCTCTTCACCCTGTACACCTCTGACTTTGCTACAACTCTGAATTATGCCATATTCAGAAGTTTGCAGATGACACAGCCATCATGGGGTGTATCTGGGATGATCAGGAAGAGGAGTACAGAAGTCTGGTGAGGAACTTTGTCGCATGGAGTCACACAAACCACCTGCAACTCAACACCTCAAAGACTAAGGAACTGGTTGTGGACTTCGGGAGGTCCAGAGAAGGTCCACTGCCGGTTCAGATAGAGGGGGAGGAGGTGGAGGTGGTCAACAAGTACAAGTACCTCAGGCTGTGGGTGGACAATAAACTGGACTGGTCATGCAACACAGAGCACCTGTATAAAAAAGCCCAAAGCCGACTGTACTTCCTCAGGAGGCTGAGGTCTTTTAACATCTGCAGGAAGCTCCTGAGGATGTTTTACCAGTCGGTGGTTGCTGGAGTACTTTTCTATGCTGTGGTGTGCTGGGGGAGCAGCACAGCAAAGAGGGACTCATCCAGGCTGGAGAAACTGATCAGGAAGGCTAGCTCTGTGGTCGGCATGAAGCTGGACACTCTGGTGACAGTGGCAGAGAAAAGGACATTAAAGAAACTGATGGACATTATGGACAATGCTGGGCATCCTCTGCACACGGCCATAAACAACCAGAAGAGTCTGTTCAGTGACAGGTTGCTTCTCCCAAAGACAAGAACTAACAGACTTAAAAACTCCTTTGTCCCACACGCCATCAGACTGTTTAACTCCTCTCTGGAGGGGAGAGGGAGGGGAAACAGGAGGACAAAGGAGGGGGGAACAACTAAGCTGTAGTGCCTCTTCACCTCACTGTACAATACCTTGTGCAATACTTTTTGTAAATAGTCAACAGTGCAATAGACTCAATACTTGAAATGTGCAATTCACTTGTATTTTTATTTTTTATTCCTATTTATTCTATTTATCCCCTTCGTATATTTTATTTATATTTGTCTCTGTATTTATATATAATACTGTGTGTGTGTGTGTGTGTGTGTGTGTGTGTGTGTGTGTGTGTGTGTGTGTGTGTGTATATATATATATATATATATAACAATTCTGTAACTGTAACTTCGGTCGTTGCTGTGCTTTTTGGAAGTCGAATTTCCCAGAGGAACCCACCCGAGGGATTAATAAAGTTCTATCTTATCTTATCTTATCTTATGATGCCTGGGTGTTTCTTCTTCACTCACTGTGTGTTTATGCACCTCTGCATTTAATGATGAGTTATTGTCATGTCTGACTGTGGCAGATGATGGACACAAACACAGAAACAACATTTGTATCTTTCGTGTCAGACCGAGGGCCGTGTCAGCACTGCATCATCAAATTCCTGTGTAATCTGTACTTTATTGATCCCCGTGGGGAAATCCCTCTTGGCATTTAACCCATTCTGTCACGGTTCGTAGGATGAGCCGTGTGGAATTATTAAAGGACCCAAAACGCAGGCAAAGGATGGATGATATGAGTGAGTGTTTATTTTCAAAGTGGCAAAATGACACCAACAGGCAGCGGGCGTATGAGAAGCAACTGAGGAACCCTAAACTGGGAAGACTCCTGTCTCCCATCAAGGGATGGGAGACAGGAGAGGAACACACCTGGGAGAAGTCACAGCTGACGGGACAGGGGAAACGTAAACTGAACACACTCACATAAGACAGAGACCTTCAGAATAAAACAGGAAACTCATAGACACAGAGGACCAGACAAGACACTGACCTTAACAGACAGACTCACGAACAGACACAGTGACACCATAGACAGACACAGACTCAGGACCATGACACATTCACTCAGTGAAGCAGTGGGCAGCCATTGGGCGCCCAGGGAGCAGTGTGTAGGGACGGTACCTTGCTCAGGGGTACCTCAGGATAGCCGTTCAGTGGATTTGGACCCCTGACCTTCCGATCACCTACCTACTGAGCTATCCCTGCCCCTGTATATGATGTATGTATGTATGATCTGTATATGTGGTTTCGACAATAAAGATGACTTTGACTTGACAAAGGGAGTCAATACTGAACATGAAATTACAAACAAACCAAGAGGAGATAACACTCAGCTAACATGGGACGACATGACAACAAGCAAAGGAAGACAGAGGACCTGAATCCACATACAGGATGATGAGAGGATAGGCTACAGGTAGAAGCACGCTGGACCTAATACTGAACACAATGCACACAGGACAAGGGACTATCAAAATAAGACAGGAAACACACAGACAGAGCCTCAGCCTGACACAGTGACTGTGGAGAACAACTAAACAGGGAACAGAAGAGTCATGACAGCAAGTGTAAACAGAGGGATCACAACAACCAAAGCTGGGAACACAATCCTTACCTCACAGTACTACACAAAAGACACATAAATGCTGGCTCCACAGACCCAGGACCATGACTAGGGATGGGTATCGTATAGGTTTTATCCAATACCAGTACCAAACTGGTACTTTTGAAACGGTGCCGGTGCTTAAAGAATGGAGAACACACACTTTGTCCAAAAACCTCTCATGTTTAACTGATTTTTAACTGTTTTTTTGTAAAAGATAACAATGTTAGCCGTTTCTGCAGCTATGGGGCATATATGGCATCACTCTTGGCTGGAAGCAGTGCTTAAACAATGGAAAAAACACAAACTTTGTCCAAAAACCTCTCATGTTTAACTGATTTTTAACTGTTTTTTTGTAAAAGATAACAATGTTAGCCTTTTCTGCAGCTATGGGGCATATATGGCATCACTCTTGGCTGGAAGCAGTGCTTAAACAATGGAAAAAACACAAACTTTGTCCAAAAACCTCTCATGTTTAACTGTTTTCCACTTTTTCTTTGGTCATTTTAGCCTTTTTGGCCAGGGTGAAGGGAGTATCTGCCATCAAACAAGAAGACAGCCGCATGTAACTACGACGGTGTTTGCTAGTTCACCTTACATGCATTAATGTAATAACGTGGTTAGCCTACTCAGCGTAGATTACACACGAACAACATTAAGCTACTCACGCAGAGAAGAACGGCTGCTGCTGCATCATCATCCTCATCATTTCTGCTACACTGGCAGGGCTAGGGGCCAGGACTCTTCTCTTCGTGTTCTTGGGGGATGTTGCTAACTCCGGGTTAGCAACATCCGGGCTAACTCCATTAGATTACAATAAAAACTGCCTTGACATGACTACTGTTGTGATATATATATAAATTAAACAGTAATCATATTCTATGTCGTTTTGTTTTGGTTTGTGGTCTCCTGTTGCTGTTTTTTGGGGATTTTTTGGGTCCCTTTTCGTCCCATTCCTCTTTGTGTTATTTTTGTTGTAATTTTGAGTCTTTGTGGGTTTTTTGGTCTCTTTGTAGTACCAAACAGTTGTTTCTGTTTATCTGGACATAGCGTATTGAGCATATTTGTCACAGCTGCGACGGCAGACGTGTGGAGGTGAGGTAAGGACTCAAACACAGGCGCTGACTTTGATGGGATGAGTGAGCTTTTATTTATAAGTGAGCAGGATACAGCAGGAGCGGAGGATGGAATGCTCAGAAACAAAGGGGAACCTAAACCTAAATCCACAGACGACACAGAGGAAGGGTCACACAGGGAGACCATGCAGACAAACCAGCAACACGCAGGATAAAACACAGGGCTTATATACACAGTGGAGTAACCAGGGAACAGGAGGGAAACACAGCTGGGAGAAATCAGGGCTAATGAGACTAGGGAAGAAAAACTAGACACAAGACATGGACCTTCAAAGTAAGACAGGAAATACAACGGGTATGCACAGACTCAAACTTAACACTAAGATGTCAGACATGGCAACAGGGAGGAAACATGGAGACGTGGGACGAAGGCAGGCACAGTCACACAGAACAGAAGGAGCTCAAAATACAAAACCTGAGAACAGGAATGACTAGAACAGTTCTGGGGGTTTTCTTGGATAGCAAACTTATATTCGAGAAACAAATTAATTCCGGTGCTTCATTGGCTTCCAGTGCGTTTTAGAATTAAATTCAAAATCTTACTTTTGACTTATAAAGTGCTAATTGGCCAGGCACCGGACTATTTGTCTGACATATTGCAGTTTTATACGCCCTCTAGAGCCCTTCGATCAAGCGATCACCTGCTCCTTACCTTACATAAGTCTAGGATGGTTCATAGAGGAGATCGGGTGTTTGCGGTTGTGGCACCGAAACAGTGGAATGATCTACCTCTCCACATTAGAAAGGCCCCAACTGTTACTCTTTTTAAATATTTTAAAATATTTTTTTACTCTGGCTTTCGAAACTGTATGAGAGTTACCAATTCTTTTATCCTAATTTTCTTTTAATTTTCTTACCTGTCGTTGTTGTCAATGTCATTGTTTAACTGTTACTCTGTACAGCACTTTGGTCAGCTCCCTGTTGTTATTAAATGTGCTTTATAAATAAATAAATAAATAAAATAAATAGAACAGAACCAAAACTATTAACAGTGACAACCCTAAATAACAAATAGTCAAGAAACACAAATGAACAGCTGCGAAATGGTATAATATTTGCCCATGGATTAAAAATAATATAAATAAGAGCCTGAAAAAAAGCATGGGAAAGGGATCTAGGGCGTACAATGGATGAAGATACATGGGATTCTACATTGTCGAACAATGGATTACACATTAGGGAAGCCAGGGGGAAATTTATTCAATACAAAATTCTTAACAGATACTATTATATTCCTTCAAGGCTGTATAGAATGGGGATTGGTAGAGATGACTTGTGTTGGAAATGCCAACAAGCCAAAGGTACTCTGATACATGCCCTCTGGGAATGCCCGCTGGTTTTTCCAGTTTGGAACACTGTACTGAATTATTTGCAGGGGTGGACACTTTGTAACCTACCCAGATCACCTAAATTATGTTTACTAGGAGACAAAGGAGAGGTGCCGCAATTAAATAAACACCAGTTTAGAGTGTTAAGTACTGCATTGGTAACATGTGCCCGTGTCATTTTGGAACACTGGAAGGACTCTCATATTCCAACGCTTAAAATGTGGAAAGACAGAATGATTGGGAATGTTGCATGCGAAAAGATGCTGGGAAAAATACATCATGTGACGGAAGCTGCGCTGGAACAGTGGGACAATTTTTGCACCTACATGTCTACCTGACTTGGACATTTGAGCTTAATACAACATATGTTAAAACCTCACTTGTTTTGTTTTGTTTCGTTGTGTTTTATTTTGTTTGTTTGTTTGCTTCTTGCTTTTGGTTGTTGCATCTCTGTATTTGCTGTTATAGAATGCAAAATCTAATAAATACTTGAATTATAAAAAAAAAGAAACACAAATGAAAAAGCTACAAAATATTGGGTCACTGACCCAGGACCATGACAGTGTTGTCCCACTCCCACAGAGTGCACTATGTCCAGATGAACAGAATCAACTCTCTGGGATTTCCTTACCTGAATGATTGAGCATTTGTCAAGATGCCTCTTTGTAGAGTTTTGTGGTGTTTTTGCGTTGTTTTTTTTTTTTTTGTCTCGTTGTTTTTTTCATCTATTGGTGCCATTTTTGGTTTTATTTTTAGTCTTTATTGTGTTTTGTGCCTCTTGGTGTTGTTTTTGTCCCCCTTTTTATTCATGAGCATATGAAATCTGAGTTTCTTGTTGTGTATTGATTCATTTAGCAACAGTAGGCATTATCAGTCTGGCATGTGATTGGCTGTTACTCTGTGATGTGGCATCCTGATGAATCTGTCTTTGTGTCAATATTAATAGTTACAGTCAATACTTTAAGCTTTATTGTCTTTTTTTTCTTTTATTGTCTTTTTTGAGTTAGATAAGCGAATGGACGGACACACACACACACACACACACACACACACACACACACACACACACACACACACACAGAAAGACAGACAGAGAAGACAATAACATGTTTTTAATTAGATGACTTTAGCTCACGGTTGTGTGTACGTGTGAAATGATCACAGCAGCTTTCGTGTATGAGGATAACTTTGACATCCATACATTTTGATTATATTATAAACAAATATAATAAGATTATAATTATAGAAACAACCATATTGTACAACATAATCATTGTTAATAAATGATTGAATTTAAGTTTTGCTTACATGTTAAAGAAGTGGGATAGATATTAGTGGGTGGAGTTATTATTGGTGGAAGTAGGTGTGGTTGCATCCACATGTTCAGGTAAAAAGTTTACTGACACTTTTAATTCGATCTTTTATGATTTAAAAGGTTTTAATTTCAGAGTGAATTTGAACAGTGTTGTTGTTAGTTTAGTGTAATGTTAATATAATGTTAGTATTAGCATTTAACTTTGTATCACTATAGAAACTACAGTATAAGTACTGGAGCATTTAACCGCATGCTGTTAGTTTCAAAATGAAAGATAAATCCAAAAGATTGAAATATTTTACATGAATGACACAAAAGTCCAAATTAGTAAAAACGTGCGCACATCTTGTCAGACTTCAGCTGATGGACCAAAGCTTCTTTTACTCTCAAGTTGTTTTATTTTCTCTTGTTCAGTTAAAACCTGTGTAAAAATATTTAAGGTCATTATCATCTCAACATGTAACACAGACAATAAACAGGTAAACAGGTGCTTTACACATGCTGTACCTGGCTTAGGGCAAGGTGATGCGGCTCATGCAGGTGACGATGTGGCATGCCGCCTGGTGAAGGTACTCCTGAAGTCGAAGCTGAGCGGCCGAGCTTACCCGCAGACTTTGGTTCTGCAGATACAGATCAGTGATCGTCAGTAAACTCAAAGAGACATCACCTCGGTGCACATATGTTTGTGTAGATTTTTAGTCCTCCAGGGGTTCTGTTATGAAATAAATATATATTCTTAATGCTTATTTTCTGTTTATATTGTTTTATAGAGCCCAGTGTAGGAAAACACCCTTGTGAGTTAGAATGTAGGCCAAAAGTCACAGAATAGACTGCACGTCCTGTGCAGAAAACAGGAAGTATAGTGCAGAGGAATTTAATAGTTCTTACTAGAGATGGCACGATACCACTTTTTTATGTCCGATACCGATACCAATATCATAAATTTGGATATCTGCCGATACCGATATGAATCCGATATAGTGTTTTTTAATCAACAAAACTGTTTTTTTAAATATCTTGCTGCATTTTGTATAAGTTCATACTCAAGTTTAAAACAACAACTACACTAAAGCTATTCTGTTATACCTGTATGCAAAAAAAATATTTCATAGTTCAGCAACACTGATCAATCTAATAAACTTAGACCTACACCATCCTCCCTATTCTGGTATTTTAAAGAGTACTTAGCATATATATTAAGCAACCTAACTAATAGGGTTCCAACTCCCAGCAACAACAAAAATAAATAAATAAAACATAGGGAACCACCCCTCACGCTCCACCTCATGATGCTTAATCGACGTAATCAACCTTAATTTGATGCAGTGTGAAAAAAAATGCACAGAAATCAATTATTTTTTTCAATATATTAAAATATTAAATAGATTCAACATCTTTCTTCAACAAAATTGCAGACTGCACAGATGGTACCTTCCCAAAGGAAAAAGTACTATAGCTTACTAGGGTATATATTAGACTTAATAGTCACTATATACAGTAATTGACTTCTATTCATTTTACATCAAATTAAAACTTTGGGTGTCAGATAATTATTTATTAAAAGCTCGACATTTTAAATGAGAATAAGAAAGAAAAGTATGTCTTTGTGCCCCTTTTCCCTGTTCATGCCCTATCGGCCCCCCTGGCTAAACTTTGCTAGATCCGCCCCTGCACAGTTACCAGCGTCAGCTACGTAGAAAAAGATCCTGGTGTAGAAAGTAATATTAAATAAATTCTAACAGCAGCTGATCAAGCTTAAACGTGCTGCTGTTGTTCAACCGCTGGTTTCCTCTTTCTGGTGCAAAGTGGGCCAAAAACAAACAAGAGAGACGGACTCGCGACAGAAAAGCCGATCAGCTGATCATTAAGCAGTTTCATGATTGAAGTAGCAGCAAGAGGAGGAAGTCGCTCCATATATCGCTTGTTAAGCTTAACGCAGGAATGCTTTACAAACATTCAGAGATGGACTTACACACTTGCTTTACTTCTCTCGGGATAACTTTGTCGGAGATGAAATGCCGGGTTGCTAGCGAAGCTCCACATGCTATCCAGACCACCGACAGGTCCTGCACGCCACAGCCGCTCTATCACGTGATGCATACTGCTCCGACGTGCTAACGTTCTGAGGTGAGTTACGGCGTGTTGCAAGTTTTGTGAGGTGCTTTCGTGATATTTAATGGATCGGATTACATTTTTTATTTTTCTCCGATATCCGATCCAGTAATTTAGGTCAGTATCGGACCGATACCGATACGTAATATCGGATCGGTCCATCTCTAGTTCTTACCCTTTTTTTTTTGTACCTCGGGGCCCAACCTTTCCACTACACAGTGGCCCGAGGTTAGGGCTATTACTGACACTGAATAAATTGGCGTTGCTTTTGGTTTGATTTATACTTAATAACTACATCCAATCTACTTCATTTTAACGACTAAAACCTTATCAAATAAACATGATGATGACATGATGCAATGTAATAATCACAAAGACATTCATTCATTATGTGTATGCGAACCTGCAATAAAAACAAAATGCCAAACAGGTTAACTTTCATGGGAATCAAACTGACACAAAAATAATTCACAATTCAATTTTACTACAGCAAAAGAGAAGAAAAAACTGGATAAATAATGTGATGATAAAATAAATACATTCAAAATAATTTTCTGACTAAATGAATAACTAAATAAATAAACTGTTATAGAATGTAAACAAAGCGCAAATGAAAATATAGCCCTATAAAGTCATGGTCCCGGGTCGGTGACCCAGCGTTTTGAGTTTATTGTTATTACTTTTTAGTTTCTTCTGATTTGGTGTGAATTCTTATTTTGTATTAGTTCTTAGGAGTTGGTCCTTGTGTTTAGTGTTTTAGTGTTCTCCCTTCTGCGCTCTGTTCGTGTCCCTAAGTTAGTGTTCTAGAACAGCTTGTGAGTTTCCGGTTTTACTTTGTAAGTCAGTGTCTGGTGATGTCAGTTAGGAACAGCTGTGTCTCCATCCTGTTCGGGCCATTCCTTATTCCCTTCTGTGTGCATTGATAGTGTGTATCTACCTGTGCTCACTGTCGGTTCATCTGTGTTATTCAGTCTTTCTCCGTGTCTCCCCTGCTTTCTCCATGTCATCTCCGTGTATCATCCCGTGTCCTTATATTTTCAGGTTTGTTTATTAGTTTTGCCCAGTCTAGGTTTTAGTAGCTCCCTGTTCCTTATTTCCTGTTTCCTGTCACTGTAAATAAACACTCACTCGCACCCCAGCCAGTACCTGCATTTTGGGTCCTTCTCTCGTAACACCACATGACTGTTGCCCCAGCCGTGACATATAATCTGTGAGTGAATCTGAAAGTTTCAGCAGTAAACCGTTTTTCATTGGCAGAACCAGAAGTTACTCTTTATATTTAAGACAAATGTGCAAACAGTCACAACAGGTAACTCCCCTTTACCTGAGACACCTGAGCCTGCCTCTGAGACACGATCAAATCCGGTCTGGGTAGGGTTGGGGAAAGGATCACTCTCTGAGTCTGTTTCAGGCTTTGGTCTTGGTTGTGGCCACAATAGAAAATCCCGATTCACACAGATATGTAGTTGTGAATGGGAGAAGGAGTTTCACAGCTCTCAGTGCCAGACATGGGTCCTCCTTTGAGACAGCACTCCAGAAGGAGCCCACATCAAGTTTGCTCCACTGCAACTTTAAAGTGCTGTTGGTGGAAACTTCCAGAAGCTGTGAGAACTGGGTCCATTTAGCTGTTGGTGCACGATCAAGAACATGATGTTGTGATGCCTGCAAGTCATTGAAGCTGCACCATCACTGCATACCCCAACACTGTCCTGCCAGTCCAGGTCGTTCTCAGTGAAGTAGTTGTCTTTTCTTTCAAAAGTCATTTTATTACACAAAGGTTTCAGAGCAACGTGTAATACAAAGTAGAGATGGCACGATACCACTTTTTTATGTCCGATACCGATACCGATATCATAAATTTGGATATCTGCTGATACCGATATGAATCCGATATAGTGTTTTTTAATCAACAAAACTGTTTTTTAAATATCTTGCTGCATTTTGTATAAGTTCATACTCAAGTTTAAAACAACAACTACACTAAAACCAAATAACCAAACAAATAGACAGGAACAAGAAAAAAAACGGGGAAGAGGGAGAATCCGTGGGTTACTCAGAAACAATGGACATTATATCTTTTACAGATTGCACATGCGAGGGGGGAAAAGAGTCTTTCCACTTTAGTGAAGTAGCTGTCTGACCAGCAGTAATGAAAGGTTTAGTGCTCTGAGTCTAGAGTTGGGCAGCTTCAGGTCTGCACCAAACATAGCACAGAGTGGCTCTGGTTTAATTTGAGGACTTCAGACATTGTTTGGAAAACAGAGGTCCAAAGGTTGGTCAACAAAGGTTGGTCAACAAAGGACAGGACCAGTACATATGAAGTAATGTACCACCCCCACACCTTCTACTGATTGGATCCACCTATGGGTATATACACACCATCTTAGCGCTGGATCAGTGCCCCCGATGAACTATCTTAAATTGAATGAGAGTGTGTTGAGCACACATCGATGTATTGTGAACTTGGCCGAGGACAGAGTCCCACAGTTCATCTGTGATATGAAAGTTAAGGTCTTGTTCCCATTTACATTTGATGGCAGCTACTGAAGAACATTGTAAGTGGGAGATTAGATTGTACGAGGCTGATATTGGAGGTTGGACTGACCATTACAACATAATCTACCGGATTGTCTGGAGGTTTTTAGGGGAATTGTGCTGTCATAGTCTGCATGTAGTGTCTGACATGTAAAAAATGAAAAAAACTGAGATGTAGCAATGGCAAATTTAGTGGATATTTGAGAAAAACTTGCAAATTGTCCTTCTAAATCCAAGTCAGCAAAAGATTTTAGACCCTTTCTGTGCCAGATGTGAAAAGCGTTATCTGTCATTGAAGGAACAAATAGGTGGTTTGCTGCAATTGGGCGTTGAAGTGAGAAAGCCTGGTAGGGCTGGGCCATATTATACTGTTCATGGTAATATCTGTACAATGTTAGGCCATGATAAGAAAATGAAATATCGCGATAGAATATGGGTAAAACGTGCATGCGCAGTGCCTTTGTTTTCATACGCACATGGCCGAAAAAGCATGGCGGCAATGGAGAATGAGAAGGGAGAAAGCGGATCATTGAGTGAAACGGATGAACCAGAATTGGTTTGTAAAAATGCTGCAACTTCAGTGATGTGGAACTGGTTTGGTGTTTGTCTGTCAGATACCCACCAAAGCACAATTTTTTTTTGTAGAACATGCAAGTGGGCCGTCGTATTGCCATATTTGTCGGACTAAGGTGCTCGTAAATCTGGGAGTAATCTGGGTCCTAAAGTAAGTAAGTGAAATTTATTTATATAGCACATTTCACAGATAAAAATCACAAAGTGCTTTACAATAAGATCAGACATACAAGTTAAAATTAATTAAAAGCCCGTTTGTATAAAAATGTCTTCAGCTGCTTTTTAAAGGAGTCAGTAGAGTCTAGACAGCGTAAAGACAACGGCAGAGAGTTCCACAGCCTCGGTGCCTGAAAAGCCTGATCCCCACGTGTTTTAAACCTAGTACGTGGGACCACCAGTA